TTTTTGTTATTACACAACATCGACTTGATTAGTAAAATAATGACTTTTTATATCACCGGAGTTATTCAATTATTTTCACCAATCATCAGGTGAAGCGATACTTTTTTCCAGTAACTGTACTTAACTGTATGTGTACATGGGACAGTTCTGATTTATCAGTTCTGTAAAGTGTAATGGACTAGTTTTAACTCAATCTTTGATCTTATTTGATTTTAATATTAACTGGAAATGGAAAATACTAATAATTTCAAATTTATCTTGTCACTTGTTAGTAATTAAGGAAATTAATTTTTGTGTAATAAAAATTGTGATACAAAATTACTAAAATTCTTTTCTATGACTATTACTATTACTATACATAATTTTGATCTTCACCAAATTTCTGAAATTACAATTACGTTATTTTCCAAAATGTCCCAATGGTTGCCAGGTGAGTCGCAATCATCACTAAAAGATTATTTATACTCGGTCATAAAATACAAGCCTGTTGTCTTGCAGAGTACTTTCTAAACTCAGGATTTTTAGAATTTTTGTCAAAACAAAATAAAAAAAATCCATCTGTTTTTAAATATATATATTGTCTGAGATTTGCATTTCAGGACAAATATATACCCTTCAATATATATATATTTTAAAAGACCAAATTTTGAGTATAAGCTTAAAATCCTATAGTTTCACAAGAGAGAAAGCATTTCCTCAATCATGAATTTTGTTTTCGTGAGCAGGTCATTTCCCTCCTTCACAACAACCTTCGTTTCCAAATTTTCCAGGACCACCATCGGTTCCTCCAAATCAATATATACCACCACCAACATATCAAAGACCTTCAATTCCTCCACAATCACAACCTCCAATTGATGATTTATCTTTGGCATTCGATAATCTTGCAATGACTTTAAGAGCCACAGCTGGTCCACAAGAATTGGATGATTTTCAATTGTCTCTTGGAATGCTTATGCATGATTGTTCTCAATCTAACATTCAGGCATATATGATTTTTTTTTAATATATTGAAATTTTGCAATTTTACAAATATTAATGTCTCAACTTTTAATTTTTATATAGCGTGGCAAAACATGGATATTTGAACATTGTAAAACTTCTAATCATTATGATGTATTAATGAGATTTATCATTGCTCTTTCAAGATCTCGACCAATATTTCAAGATAAACTTCATTTAATATATCTTGTAAATGATGTTATTTATCATAGGTAATAAATGAATATTTAAATATATATATATTATATACTACAATTAATTTTTTAAAACATTATAATTTAAAACTTTTTTTTCACTTTAATATAAGTGAGCGTAGACAAGAATTTTGGGTTAAAGATGCACTTTATCTACATTTGCTCCCTTTACTAAGAGCTGCATTCCATTTCATGGAAGCAAATGAAAAACAACAAGAAAAAGTTCTTAAAGTAATTAATCAATCAATCTATTATATTATATTATATTATATTATATATTATATATATATATATATATATATATAAGATATTTTCCTGGAAGATCATCTTTTCATTAACAAATAAACGGCTTTCCTGAAGAAATTTTCGAAATTATATTATTAATTATTAAAAAAATTGTTTATTTTTTGATTTAATTTAGATAATTTCTATCTGGAGTGATAAACAATTTTTTGATGAGTTTAAAATTAATTCATTACAAGCTGGTGTAATGGTCCCCCCTCCTCCACCGGGAGGACCTCCTCCTTCGCCATTTAGTAGTGGTTTTGGACATACACACTATCAAAATCAACAAGGTGTTCCGTCTTATTATAATCAAGGACCACCTCCACCACCAGGTTTATTTTCTGGACCTCCACCACCTCCACCACTACCACCACCGCCACCACCACCACCACCAACTTCTTCTTCAAATTCACATTTAATTCCTCCTGGCGCACCTTCTCATACCAGACCATTATCTGAACCAGCTCCATTAAGTATACCTAGTCAATTTTCACCGCCTCCTGGTATTCCAATGCAAGGGCTTGTTCCAAGGCCTAACACCCCTAACATTTCCAATGTATCACAACCAATACTTACAGTGCCAGAAAAAAAATATCATGAATTACCAGCTGGACTAATAGTTCCTGTTGTTTCGGTATGAGTCAGAAAATATGTTAACAGTTAAATCAACTGTTTTTTATCATTTCTTATTTTTTACTTATTTACTAGCTTTTTTAGCCTGAGAATCCTCCATATACACCTATACATGCTGCCTCCATCAGACTTCCACCACACCGTCTTCCACCAACTCAAGAATTATTGGATGCAGTAGATAAATTTTATGATGGAATGAATATAATTGAGTCAACTGGTGATAGTGAGGATGAGGGCCTAGTGCCAGGGATTAATACAATACCAGAGAAGAGCAAGATTCAATTAGATAAGGATGGATGGGAATTTGGATTCTTGGATGATTATTATAAAGAACTTGAAATTCGTAGATCTGCTAATACATCAAGAACTACCTCTGGAAGGTATTATACTCGATCTTCATATAATAGACGTCTGGATGACAGAGGAGGAAGGTGGTCAAGAGATAATAATCATAACAGAAGTTATTCTTCAAGGTCACGCTCATTATCAATATCAAGATCTCAATCAAGAAGACATAAAAGAAGATCCAATTATTCAGATTCTTCTAGAAGTAGATCAAGAGGTCGTCGTAGATATCGAAGAAGGAATAGTAGAAGTCGTAGTATAACACGATCTAGATCCAATTCCAGACGTAGATATAAGAGTAATAGTCGATCTAGACACAGTTGGAGGAAAAGATCAAGATCACATAGATCATATTCAAGAACAAGGTCAAGATCACATTCACAAAGTTCATCCAGATCAAGAATTAGATCTAGAACTCGCACCCGCTCACGTTCAAGATCAAGAACTAGAACCAGGTCCGGATCCGGGTATAGATCTAGGTCTAGATCCAAAACAAGATCAACAACCAGATCCAATTCTCGAACTAGATCAAATTCAAGAAGTAAGTCAAGATCATTATCTAGATCCAAATCCAGATCAAGATCGTATAGTCCAAGTAGAAGTAGAAGTAGAAGTTATAGTCATGATAGACACAAGTCTAGTGAGTATAGTTCATCGTCGCGTAAACAACATCACAGTAAATCATATAGCAAGTCTGTTTCAAGGTCTCCTACATATAATGGAGTTGGTTTGGGTTATGTTAAAGAACGTGACGAAGGGGCTAGAACAGATAAAATGATATCTGATCATAATGTTGGATTCCAAATTTTGAAGAAATTAGGCAAGTTAATTTATTTATTTGTATTCTTTAAAGAAAGGTTAATAATCAAACAATTAAATATCAAAATAGGATGGGAAGGTGCAGGAACAGGATTAGGTTCATCAATGGCTGGTATTGCAGAACCAATAAAAGGCGGAGAATTAAGAACTGGGGAACAAAAATATTTAGGTGTTGGGCATGGCCATGATGAAGAAGGTGATATCTTTGATCAATATCGTAAACAAAAAAGTTACACTTATCAAAGAAGTGATGGTAATTCAAAAGATAAAAAGCCAGCTGGATGCTTTAGGTGTGGCAAGGTAATAAATAAATAATCATATAAAATATACTGATTGACATATTAATAAATAGACACATTAGTTAACCAATTAATTTTTATAGCCTGGTCATATTGCAAGAGAATGTCAAGAAATTGGGTCTTTTCATTAATTAATTAATTAATTAATTAAAAAATATTATATTAAAAAAGTAAATTTTTGATTTAATTTAAATAGGACTTTGCTTCTTATCATTAGACTTTATTATAATATTTAAAAATTTTATACTACATATAAATGATCAAAAATTTTTCCTCTATTTAAATAATTAAATGTATATATAGATAAAATTATAATATCTTATAATATATGTTATATTAAATACATTATAATCATTATAATCATTTATTTTATGGTAAATCAACTTTTTGTTTTGTTTTGTTTCACAAAAAGAACATAACCAATAAACTGTTCTGTACTGTTATTATAATTAACATTGTATTGCAAATCATACCACAAACTCAAAAATCACTACCAAAATCACATCTATCATTATGAACAATATATATTTAAAAATCATGGAGCGTATTTGGAAACCCAGATGTGAAGAAATGATTAAATTAGAAACCTCATTAAATATTACTAAAAAAGAAAAAAAAATAAAAGTAGTTTAAATAGAGATACAAACAATTTATCAAATGGTTCTGAGGGTATAGAACATGCAATTGCATCGGGTGGTTTCCTTTTAGATTATTATAATGGGTAATAACCATTTGCTTTTATCTATGTTTGAATGTCAGGTGTTTAAATCTTAATACCTTTTTGGGCCTGATTTAGTAGGTAACGGTGAAAGGTTGGTTTCATAGTGAACTAATTAGTTTACTAGGGGGCAGTCATTTTCTTTTTTTTATGTAACTCATGTATTTTCATTGTCCTACAATAAATAAAATTACGTGACATTACCTCATCGTTAAGGGTAAAAAAAAAAAAAAAAAATAATTAACATTGTATTGCGTGCAACATGTTGTAACGCAAATTGGTCTATAAAAGATTGTGCTGAATAAATAGGAAGTTAAAATGTATTTAGTATATAATGGATTATCAAAATTAAATAACATCAATAATAATAAGATTCATATATGGAGAGCGAGGACTCCGGAAACTACAGAACTGCAAATATAAATTTTGATAATTTTTCTTTTTTTTTTTTTTTTTCTTACGATGAGGCCACATAACAATTTATTCTCTATATAACAAACCATTTGGTTTAGTATCAGTATTAGTATTAGGGTAAAATGTCATTTACAGAGAGGATCCATTATAGACAGTAATAATTTATATGTGGGACATATAAAATTGGGCTTAAACTCAGTCCGTTATAGAGCAAGATCCGTGAGAGAAGTGAGTCGCACGAGAAAAATAGAATTCATCACGGAACTAACTTTTCACCATTACCTACTAAACCAGGCCCAAAAAGGATTAAGATTTAATGCTTGATGTTCAAACATAGGTAAAATAAAAGGTTATAAAATTCACATGATGCAATTGCCTATTTCAAACGATTTGATAAATTGTTTGTATCTTTATTAAAACTATAGAATTATCATTATGTTGCTTTTAATTTTCTTTCTTATACAGTAATGTTTTAGGGGATTTCTAATTGGATCACTTCTTCACATCTGGGTTTCCGAATACATTTCATATAAGTCCAACCTTTTTTTTAACATGTTCTAGCATTTCACTGCAAAATAGGGTTCCTATTTGAATAAGGTTCACTCAAATGATTCAAATGATTTGTGATTGATTTTGAGCATTTGAATCACATTGAATGATTATTCAAACCAAATGAATTCCTTGTGTAGCAAATTTAAAGCTTCACTCAGAAGTTAATGATTTAGATGAATATGATAGTTATGATGATGATTTTGAAAATGATTCAGAATCTAATAAAAAAGAAAAGTTGAAAAAAAAGGAAAAAACAATCAAGTCATGTCAGCAGGATTTCTATTTGAATAAAACAAATTACTATTACTATTGCAAAGCAGTCTTTGTAGGACAAGCAATTCTAAAAAAAGATCACATGCAAAACATTTTGATCTTTGTGAATAGACTGAACAAGAACAGAGTATGTGGACATCCAATATGATATGGGGCATACTGCAACAAAACCAGACAAAGTGAACATTTTTATTACCAAGATCAAAATTTAGTAATGTGATTAGAGATTGGACCCGGGTTGGGTCCAACCGGGTCATGAAAATTACCACCCGGGTGGAGAAAAATGAATGTAACACAATGGGACGTCAATTTTTTTACATTTCATATGTATTATCAACATTTTTAATATGGATTATCCAATATCTTATAAATAATGATTTTATCAACAATATTGTTAGAGTTGTCTTGTTACATATTAATATATACTAATGAATTATTTTTGTTTTTTGGATTTTGTGTAATGTCACAATGACATTTAACATACAGATTATCCAACCTCTTATAAATAATAATTTAGTCAACAGTATTGTCAGAGTTGCCTTGTTACATATTAATATATTAATGTTTTTGAAAAAGAACATTGAATGCGAATTTCCATATAATATATACCACAATGATGTTTAACATTATGTCTGATTTATAATTCATTTTTATAAATCATTTTTATAAATAATAATTCAAACAGTTTATATTGTAAAGTTTGGAATTAATAAAAAAATAAAATTATTTTTTTATCATTTATGTAAATTAAATCCATATATAGAAAGATCTATTCACTACCCAGTTGACCTGTCGGGTAAACCCGTGGGTCACCCAGGTGAAGTTTTTTTAGACAGGTCCAATCTCTACACAAGGTGTTAAAAGAAAAAGGGCTAACTGTGTATCTAGCAAAACATAAAGAATGAGTGGCATTCATTGAACAATCACCTTACCTTTTTTATCTTTGGTGTTGAATAATTTCATACCTGAGATTTTGGAACTGATTGTGGCTGAGGGAACATGATTCTCCATTTGATGGTTACAATGGCATAATCTCATATTTCATGACCAAATTGTACAATGTTTTTTCCATGATCAGATTAGGAACATCTGCATGGATTGTGTAGGTAAAGCAATGCATGTGGATCATTCCATAGTTTTGAAATTTTTCATGTTTGAAGAAATGCCTAATTCACCATCCCAGGGTCCTTCCACAACTTATTACAACATATTTCAATAGTGCAGGTAGATGTGTTTACACATTTATTTCTTTTTTAAAAAGGAAATTCGAAGGCAAGGTTGTGGTTTTTGATGGATGTTTGCATTTTTGGTGGCCAATATCTGGTTCTAATTTTGAAAATTTCTTCTTTTCTCAAGCATCAATGTGGGCTAGTACCAACACAAGCAGGACCTAGCTATCTATTGAAGGTGGTATTTTTTAATGTACCCATAGCATCCCTTTCTATTAGGGGAAACATCAAAGATTCCAGGTCAGGGTTTCCAAATAAGACCAGAAGTTTGACATTGTTTGATTCAACAAAACTCACAATCTGTATACTGTAGTTTGTGTCAGTTGGCTTTTTATTTGATAATTTAGGTGTAATTTTTATTATATTTAAATTATTCAGATACATGTATTAAATTTTAATTGATGATCCGTCTAAATGTTGATCAATTTATTATCCCTTAAACATACAAGATTTGCGTGCTAATCGGCACGCAATTTTTGAAAAAATGTAGACCCCTACTAGACAAATAAATTATTAATTG